CGGCTCTCTTGGTCCCTTCCAGCCCCCACCTCTGTGCCCCCCGTATCCTCACCCCGCTGCGTTTCTTCCCCCTGCTAAAGCGAGCTGGATTACTACGACTCGCCCAGCGTGAACGCTCGGTGCCAGAAGATCTGCGACCAGTGGGATGTTCTGGGTTCCTTGACCCACAGCAGGAGAGAGGCTCTCGAGGTAAGCGCAGCCCGTCTCCTTGCTGGCTCCGGCCCCCCGCCCGGGGGGGGGGGGGGGGGGACAGGGCCGCCGTGGGGGGGTGGGTTCCTCCGCTCCTAACTCGCTCCCGGCCACGTGCAGAAAACGGAGAAGCAGCTGGAAACGATCGACGAGCTGCACCTGGAGTACGCGAAGAGGGCGGCCCCCTTCAACAACTGGATGGAGAGCGCCATGGAAGACCTTCAGGACATGTTCATCGTCCACACCATCGAGGAGATCGAGGTAGGAGGCCGCGGGAGGAGAGGTGCGAAGGCTCTGTAGCCTTCAGCTTTCTGCAGAGACGCTTGTCTCCTGTTTTGAGATGGCTTCTCGGCCATTTTTCATGCCAGCTCTGGGCTCTGCAAGATCCAGGGAGCTTCTCCTGGGGGGAAGGATGAGCTGGTATCAAACCGCTCTCAAAGCAGCTCCCCAAACCTGGCCCCCGGCTCTAACCCGGCCCCTTGCAGGGACTCATCGCTGCTCACGACCAGTTCAAGTCCACCCTGCCCGACGCCGACAAGGAGCGCGAGGCCATCCTGGGCATCCAGAGGGAAGCACAGCGGATCGCGGACTTGAACAGCATCAAGCTCTCTGGGAACAACCCCTACACCTCCGTCACCCCGCAGATCATCAACTCCAAGTGGGAACGGGTAAGTGCCTCCTCCAGCGTCCGCACCACGCGTAGCCCAAGCGCCCGCGAGGCCGTCTGTTAGCGTGCCAGCGGATAATCGCGAAGGGTTCCTCTGTGGGGCTGTAGCTCCTGCTCCCTCCGCAGCCGGCTGCTCCACAAGCTCCTTCCCGTTGTGCCTGGAGCGCCGTGGGTTTCACGGCCGTGCCTTTCCGCAGCCGCCTTTCCCAAATACCTCGGTCCCCACAGCCCTGGCAAAGGTTTGTCCCCGGCTGCCACGTGCGCCCGTGGGTCTTCCAGCACCGTCCCGTTCTCCTCGCAGGTCCAGCAGCTGGTGCCGAAGAGGGACCATGCCTTGCTCGACGAGCAGAGCAAGCAGTCTTCCAGCACCGCACCGTCCCGTTCTCCTCGCCAGCAGCTGGTGCCGAAGAGGGACCATGCCCTGCTCGACGAGCAGAGCAAGCAGCCGGCGGTCCCCCAGCCAGGCCAACATCGTGGGGCCCTGGATCCAGACCAAGATGGAGGTGAGGGCTCGGTCGGCGCCCGAGGGGCGGCTGGCGGTGGTTATCCCGGCGGCCGGCGGGCTCCACCGGAGCGGGAGTGCCATCTGCCGTCCAGAGGGCTGGGGAAGGCAGAGCCGCAGCCCTGGGACCTCTCTTTGGAGTGAGAGCTGCCCTGCGTCTGCGTTGCCCCGGCTCCAGAAAGGAACGGAAAGCCATGAATCCGTTGATAAAATCAGCCCGGTGCGGCCCGGGGCTCGTGCTGGTGCTTCCTAGCACCCGTCAGCGCCTCGCGTCAGCCACGGGCGGGCGGC